ATATTTTATATTAAATGATTTCGATATTTACTCACGATTTTATAACTCCGAGAAAATCGTTTCATCAAGACGCCTAGGCAAAAATGTTTTTTTGACAATGAATATATGTTTTAAAAAGACAACACATACAGCACTAATAAACAGACACTTACTAAAAATGAATTTTCACTTTCGGTAAAAATCTGTTGAATTTACATTTGGGTCCAAATCACTCAAGCCAAACTTTTGCATCACATTTAGTGTCAAGACAACAACGAAACAATTACGGCAATCGACAGAGAAAGGTTTCAAGTTTTTTTTTACTTCTTCACTTCATCTCTGCAATATTAACCATACAAAAATAGCGGCCGATTAAAATTTTCAACCGGATCCAAATAATCCACTCATATAGTCGAGGATTAATAGGTTATTAGAATCAATTCGATGACCTTTTTGTTTTTTTATCTTAATTAATGAATGTATAATTTGTTATCGTATTTAGTTTACGCGTTGACGTAATCTTTTTTTGAGTAGTTGATGAAAATTTATAGCTTTGTTTCGCTAATCAAAAAGAATATCTATATATTATCCTCCGGAAAGAATGTATATTATCGAATTATAGAGCACAAGTTACAGCACTAGAGCACAAATATCAAGTTATCGAACACGCGAAAGTAATTTATCTCAATATACACGTTGCAATATACACGAAAAATAAATTTTCGCTTTTAACATAATTTCTGCAGATATACAATGATATATCCGTGATGCTAAACTGACGATTCGCCAGGAACAAAAGTATTGCAGCGACATAATACAATAAATATATAAATATATAAATTGATATAATTTATTGCTGATAATTTACTTCCGATCTGCTATTTACACGTAATGATATAACGTCGGTATTTACACATGATAGAATCATGATAGATCACGAAATCCGACTTGAGAAAGTCAAGATGGGCGCATTAATAACATTTTTTTTCCTCCGGTGAACATGCGGGGTATACATGCAAGAAATGAAGGAGCCAACACAATCTTTTTTTTTTTCAGTAATAAAAATTCATAATTTCCTCTTCAATTTTCAATAAACGTCACCTAATACATTTGTCCTTTTTTGTACCATATCATATGTTTAACATATGCACGGAGTAGGGCGTGCGCGTCCTTCCTTTTTACGCTCGCACGCGGAGAGAATAGTGCGGCAGTAGCAGCAATCGCGTTATATAGAATCGGCGTCATCGCGAATAGACGAACATAATTTCGATAAATAATTCGCTCGATTCGCATTATTGCGCGTGAACAACACTCGTAACATCAACTAATTAGCAATCGTAACGATATTACGTTCGCACTTTAATACGCTCTATCTATCGACGCCACGCTCTCACTTAACGCTGGAACATCACATTTGGAGTCCGAAAAAATACTCATTTATTGAAAATGTATCCAGAAAAGCATAATCTTGTAAAGAATACTTTGTTACGTCTCTGTCGTAAGTTCGATCAAAATCCATCGTATTCTTAACTTAAAATTTTCGGAACATTTTGCATTAAAAATCAATTATTTGTCTACTTAAAAACCTTCCATTACACTTCTCTTTCTTATATCTTCTTCTATACAATATTTAATAGCGAATTTGGTCACTTGCATTATACTAGATTAGTGCAAACTAAAAGTTGCTACACATGAAATTAATAAAGTTAAATGTGAAAGCATATAAATATTAACACCAATTAACTAAAACTGCCGACGATATTTTGCTAGAATTATCAAAGGTGCCAATTTGATAATTTCCTATCTTTCTTTTCTATTAGGAAAGAGTTTATTTTGATATTACTTGCATTGTTAAAATTATTTGTATTATGTTCACATATTTTTTATATTCTGTATTGCGCATCCAATGCAAAAAAAAAATAATTAGCGGAGTCAAAATGCACTGTCAGCAGTTCTAGTATTAAATGATAAATACTTAATAATGATATGTCACACATTATTTAACAAAATATATTATTTCATTTCATATAATATCATATTATTTCATTTTCAATAATACGATATTTTACATAAAATATATTATTTCAGCAAAGTTAATCGCATTAGAGATCTTGTATAAAGCAGCCTTTAATATGCACTAATCCAGAATAGTGCGAATTCATCATTATATTTTTTATAAAACTTCGTAAAGGAGAATACTAAAAAAGAGCCGATCTTTGGTAAAAAGAAGTAAGTAAAAAATTAGTGTCTCTTTTTTATAAACTTTGATCTTCTGGATATGATAAAATTATTAAAAAGCTCGTAACATTTGGAAAATATCTCGAAAACTGAGCACGAATGATGTCCAAACCTTCATGTTTTTATTCAATTTTCAAAGTCTTTTTACTTTTTTAATAACTTCATTGTATCCAGAGAATCAAAATATACAAAAATCATTATTTCTTTTATTTCTTTACACCTTTTTGAGGAGATCAAAATATACAAAATATACAAAAAATACTATTTCTTTTACTTATACTTTTTTTTAACAAAAATCAGCTCTTTTTTTTAATGTCTTCTTTTTCTCAAGTTTCAAATAAAAAGGAAATTCCAATAGAGGTGATCGAGTTCGCCACATTTGTTAAATATCAATGTAGTGTTCAAGATCGGCTTTTGTGTGGTGCTTGAAAATTAATACAATGACAACATTTCATCTCAGTGATGAAATCGCATAAATTTCGATTTCACTGATCTTTTAATTGAATCGCGAAATGTTAGAAAAAGTTTTACTCCAAAAATGTCAAAAATCTGTGTTCACCACGTAACATTTTATACAGACACGCACTCAAGTATAGAAAAAACGTTCTTTCAACCGTCGGTATGATTCATAACAGTATAAGCTAAGAAAACGTTCTTATACGGTCGTTTCAATTCTCTTCAAGTATCTATCTTATACCTCGGAAAATAAAGATTTGGAGTAACATTCTCTCTAAGATTACCGATTCAATTCGTGTTCAATTCTCAGAATCGGAATATCGATACCGAATATTGTCGCGTCCGATAATATTCGATAATATCGATATTGAATGTTAAATACATATCCTTCCAGTTGCATCGCCACAATATTTCTCTGCGTGTGAGTGTGCGTGCATACGCATTGCGCGCATGTCGCACACATGCTATTGTACATCCACCGCGTAAAGTTCGTTCCGCCCAGACATCGAACGTACGCATGTAAAATATCACGCGAGCACACGCGCATTTGTCGACGCTATTTATATAATCTAATAATATATAGTGTAACTCTCTGCGCGGGATTTTCGACACAGTGCGCGTGCACGCGTGAGTACATGCGGCTTTCGCATACGCGGGAACGCAGGTGGCCATGTGTAAACATACATGCCACAATCGCATTTGATTGAGACTACGGAAAACGTATGCATAGCTTTTTCTTCTTCTTTTTTTCTTCTTCTTCTCCGCACGATTATAAAACGAAACGTAAGTAACGTGCGATCATGTAAATTGTACTATTTATAATATTGTAATCGTGATAGGTGATAATAATTAGTAATAGCAGAGCAGCGGTGGCGAATAGTGTAATAGCACTATTGGTTTTCATTATCGATATAGCAACAATTATTCTTGTTCTTTTCTTTAATCTTTTTCAATTTTTTTTTACCAACGACCGCGCGCGATTTATAATTAATTATAATCGTTACGATGTCCTATATACACAATGCACACGATGTTACGCGTGTATTTGCCACTCAACACGATTTACAACGAGCTCCTCGGTCTATATGTGTACAATGTGTACATATAGATATTTTTTTTTACATATGTTATAATGCACACATACGCATATACATTTATTGCGTGCATGTCTGTAGGCATATATTCTCTCTCAAATATTAATTACATCGATCCAATAATGATCGTCACCGCCATAATGAAATTAGATACATACATGTTTTTCACACATACATACATACAAGAAACGCTCGCAAATCACTTACGCTTTGACAACACATCGCACGAGACATGATGGCCCAAAATTACCTTTGCATTACTTAACGTTTCCTAAGTACTATCCTGCGCAGTCAGTTCCATCAAACTAAACGCTTGAATTCACTTATACAAACTAGCTGTAGTAGACGAGACGCGTTTTTTTACACATCAATAAGGATTCTCTGTTTCAGATAATCAATATATTAATTAGTCTATCTAACGATGTATTAATTATTCCTTGATGAATACATTAATTGCGCGAAGTCTCAGCAAGACTACAGCGTGTAGAGAACTCATAATTTTGTAATTATGAGCTTTAGTTTAATTCTAGCGTTCGTT